TGTTTTACTGCGAATTAACTTATCTATTAATTTTTGTAATTCTTAGCAGAGACTTATGTATCGTTTTCTTTCTTGACACAACTAAAAAAACGTAATTTTTTAGTTATTATTCAAATAAATTAGCTAAAGATCGCTTTATCAATCATCAAAACGAAGTTCAATTTACTTACACAGTCTATACGCCAAACAACACTCGTATCGTTCTTAAAATTTTCAACAAAATCTTCTATAGAATCTTCTATAGAAGAATGACACTTTTAGTTGTGTCATTTTTGCAAATAAAAAGAAGAGTCTTCTATGGAGAACATTTAGTGCCAAGATGGTTTTGATCGAAATTTAAAGAAATTGTTTTATTACGAATTTAGTAATTTTAGCTGATCACACAAGGTAAATGTAAATTGTTAATTAAAAACTAAATTAATTTGTCTTTCACATGAAGAATGTATTTATTTATTTTAAGTCAAACCTTTTATATTTGATTTAATACATACATTTTCTAATGAAAGAAATAAAGACGAATTGAATTAATTTAGTGAACAATTCTTTTCTCAATACAGCATTTTCTTTCTCACAATTTCGCTAAATATTAAACATATATCTATTTTAAATTCCTTTTACTTTACATTCTAAATGTATACTAGTTCAGCTATAAAAACAGAGCTTACGTATAAATGCTCTTTAATAACTTTTTCAATTTTTTATTTGCATTTATCGGGCACGTAAATGCTCGATATAACGCCACGAAGACTTAACGACGTGCGTCAGTCCCATCGAGACCCGAACAATAGAAATGCGATTAATAAATAATTTCTATCGACATGCAGAGCAGCCCACCCACGATTGTAATCAGCAGCGAGCGCGACGTCAAGGAAGAACGCATCACTCCCATCTGCTACACCCCGGAGAGATTGATCAGATCTCAGGAATACCGAATACTCATACCATCCCCTCGCTGCCTTGTCTTCTCCCAGGCGAGATCCACGCCAGAGAACGAGAGCAGAGAACGGAAGTCCCGCCGTTGCCGAAAACAGTTGAGCCGCCTCATCGAGTCCAGGCAAATCGGTACGCACACATAATCTAAGGTCTTCCTCTCCGGGTTGTCCCATCCTTCCCTTTTCGTTCGATCCGAAGTCCGAGGAAGGAAACGTCGCTTCCCTCGAACCGGCTCCGAGCAAAGCCACCTCGTGGAACTCGTCGGCCACCGCGACACCTGACCTAATAAAGTTTCGCGGTTTACCAATGCGCGGAATCGAGTTGCTTGACGTATCAGATTTACTTCGTTTCCTTCGTCCTCGGGATCGTGGCTGGGTGCTACCACCGTAAAGATGCCGAGTGGCGTGAGAGACTGCGAAACTGCCACGAGCATTGTTGCGGGCACACCAACAGAGACGAAGTTCGATCCGGGTTTGATTGAGTCTGTGTCGGGGAGGCTAAAGAAAGTTAATGAAAGCAGCACCGAGGTTTGAGCGATCATCCCCAACTCGATCTCAATCGACATTCTCTCCACCAAATGCGTGTGGCTGTTGTAAAATTATACGGGTATAAATACTTGATACAATTGTGATAAAATAATGCTATTTTATCCGCGTTTTAATTGAGCACTTAAGAACTTACCAACAATTTTTTAATAAGCTCTCGCCATCGATTTTTATTAGAAAATGCGAGGTCGATATGCACTCACATAGTGCTTTGTTTAATTAATAAACATTTTTCAAATTGTAGGAATTTTTTAAATAAAATTCTGATTTTCTAGTCTACTTCTTGTAAGTTGTTTATTAGTAGCTATGTTAATACTATCCGTCAAAATTATTTCTCAAAATGAGAAAAGAAGTTAACATTCTTGGTAATAATTTAAAAATTACGTAATAATTAAAAAACGTAAATTTTAATCAGCTTCCTAGTGCTAGTTTTTCTTTATAGTCTGACTTATAGACTTCTAAACTTACAAAAAAATACTTTATTTCATATTTTTGGTTCCTTTTCAAAATTGTCTGATTAGAACTTGGAAAATACGCGTAAAGCAGATTACAATAGAAAATCATGAACGCAGGTACAACGCAGCTGAGGACACTTCTGAACTTACCAAGCACGAATGTGAGGACATACGCGATTTCCTCGCCCATTTCCGAGCGCCGACAATGGGCTACCAATAATTTTAACATATCGAAATCGAGCAATGATCCTTCAACCGATGCAGACTGCAGCGTACGAAGTATAAAGACTGGTGACAGCAGCAGATCGAGCTATGACAGATTAAACTCCACGTGGGACGGCTGTAAGGGTTCAGTCACCAGGCCGCTCTCCCTGGAGAACACTTCCGGTATACAGAGTTACGATTGGAGCTTGGAGACCCAGAGCGACGCGCAAAACACGCCGATGTGCCTCTGCGACGAGCTGGCGATCGCGTCGAAAGAACGCACCATGAATTTCACAAACGTACGTTCTTTCACGTCCCTTACAGAAATCCATTTTCGTACTGGCCAATTCAACATAGAAAATTATTTATTTTGAGTGCAGAAAGCATTCAATAACAGTAAAATTTAGTAATAGGAAAATAGGAAATTAAATACTCACTGGAAGAAACAATTAGTAGGAAATTTAGCACTAGACAATAGTGCTTTTAATATCCAAAATAAATAATTAATCACTACTCTCCAGTATTAAATTTCCATAAAGGATAATGAAAGATCCTGCATAAAGATACTTTATTTAATCAAGCTGTGTGATTTGCCTATAGATTGAAATATAGAATAAATTATTTTGCAGGATCGAGGTACTGCTATCAACGAAGTAGTATCTATCCTCGAAGGTCTTCGGAGCGATCCCAGGAAAGCTACTGTTCTCCTGGAGGAGGAGGATCGATTTTGTAACAGCACGTCCTCTCACGACCAATTAACCAGACTGGCTCTGACCATCGAGACAGACGTGGAAGCACCGGCGGTTCCCGACGATCCGAATAATTGGATACACCATCTCCGCGATAGAATAGAACGGTTGCAACTCACCAATAAAGAGATCCACGGGGACATATGCGGTTTACGTACAAAGTTTCAGGTAGATGTCTCCCCTCATACATATAATGTATCTTTCCTCTCTCATTAGTGTAAAATGGAAATCTTTGGTGCAAAACTTGAATAATTATACATTATCAAATTCTTGAGGAAATTGTTTACAAAAATATTACTATGAAAGTACAGAAACTATACCGATAGTTTATAGGATGTCTCAGAATTTGTGACTTAAAATATTATAACACAAGAAAGTTCTTGAAAAATTAAGTTATATATATATATATATATATATAATTCGTATATAAATTATTAAAGTTTTACAAAATATTTATTTGTTACATAGGGTAAAGTCGCCTATTATGAGATAGGTTCCTAATATGAGATAGCGGGATTTCTGTTAAACTAATAAGCGCATGTGGTTGGTTTTATTATGAACTTATTACTAATAGAGTAAAACATATTTA